ATGGTTTTGTTTTGAAATATTAATTTATTTTAGGTTAAATGTATTAAATATTTTGGCTCAATTTATGGGTGTATTTTTTTGGTCGAGTCAATCCAAACCCATCCGAAAATAGGGTTATAATCCGACTCGACTCAACTCAACTCTACCCTTCTTTTAATATTAATACAAATATTAAAAATATTTGACGATTATTTGTATTAATACAAATTTTAGTTATTAATATAACATGTATTGAATATAAGTATTGGTTTATCTTTGAATTTCTCTGAGAAATCACTAATTTTTTTTTTTTTTTTTATAAATAAATTTTCCAACATTTCTTTTAAAAAAATTAACATAAAATAAATCGTAAATTTGAAGGACGAAATTTATAATTTAAAAATTTTAAATAGGTAAAAGTTAAAAAGATTATAAGATTAAATTTATAATTTAATTTAGAAGGATTTCTCCTTTATTTTAATAGATAATAAAAAACAAGGGATCAGCGTGAAAAAGACTGAAGAAACGGTTCGAACTTGGAACCCCGCAGATTGGGGCAAAGAAATTATATGAATTTCCAATTTTGACCCGAGAAAATTTGACCAATAAAAAGGGTAATTTCAAATTTTAACCCAACAAAATTGGGATTTTGGAGAAAACGCCCTTTTCAAATAATAATTTGTTTTTGGACCCTTTGATCAAGTTTGGAAAGTAAATTACTTATATACCCCGAATGCATTAATTATATTTGTATTTAATTTTCACCAACTTTTTTACTAACCTCCTTATTAACATTTAATTTCCATATTTTAACCAAAATAATAATAATAATAAATAAATAATATATATATAATCCGTCCAACGTTATGATAAGATGTTGACTGTTTGTGTGCATGTAGAGGCCAACATATACACGTAAATTATGTATTTAGTCTCATTTTTATCGTTTCATTAAATTCTTCGTTAATGTTCGATGACGATTGACATGACAATTATTTATTTTATTAAAAATATTTTTATTTTTTAATTTTAATGCAAAAATATTATTTTTCATTGTTTTTTTAATAAAAATAAAGGTCTCTCCGTGATTAACCGAAAAGTTGACGGAACGACGAGTTGGGGGTAAAAGTGTAAATTTGCGTTTGTCTTTTCACGTGGCAAGAAAAATTCTAAGGGAAAAAAAAAAAAAAAAAAAAAAGATTTTGAAATGGATTTTCACTTCGAAGTCAAAACATGTGGAGGATATTTTTGAAAAATTACTGGAGAAAAAAAGATGAGTGGACGAAGAACGAACAGTCCAATGAATTTTAAGGTAAGAATTCTTCTTCCATTTCCATTTTCTTCTAATCTTCTGCTTCCAAATGATTGCGATTTTTCTTCGCCAATTTATATACAGAATCAGATTTTGATCGGAGCAGCAAAGTCTTCCAAGGGATTTCCGAGCTTTTCCTCTCGATTTTCTCGGATTTTGTTAATTTGGAACTCCGACTCTGTTGTTCTTTCTGTTCTTGAAGCGAGATTGAAGAGAAATGGACCTCCATAGCCATTTGTTTCGTTACTTTATTGCTTTGGTTCTTTGTCTTTCAGTATCTTTGTCGGTAGCCGCCATATCTCTAGGTTCGTCTTTGAGAGCTTCGAATCCCAATCAGACGTGGGATTCGGCTAATGGAATTTTCTCTTTGAGGTTTCTTCCGGCGGATTCCTCCGGTTCTTCTTTTATCGCCGGCATAGTCTTTACTGGTGGCGTTCCTACTATCTGGTCCGCTGGTGGCGGTGCTACGGTGGATGCTTCTGGTGCTCTTCACTTTCAATCCGACGGTAACCTTCGTCTCGTCGATGGCTCTGGTGCTGTCGTTTGGGAATCTAACACCACCGGCCGTGGAGTCTCCTCCGCTGTGCTCGAGGACTCCGGCAACCTCATCCTTCGAAATAGTAGTTCCCAGGCCGTCTGGTCTTCGTTCGATCACCCGACGGACACGATTGTTCCATCGCAGAATTTCACAGTGGGCATGGTCCTGCGATCTGGTCAGTATTCTTTTAACCTACTTAACATCGGGAATATAACTCTGACTTGGAATGGAGATGGACCGAATGGTGACGTAGTTTATTGGAATCACGGATTAAATACGTCGATCAATGGCTCCTTGAATTCTCCTAGTTTACGATTAGGTTCTATTGGAATGTTGGCTGTTTATGATACCAGAATACCTGCTGGATCATTTGTAGCTTATAGCAACGATTACGCAGATAATGGTGGCGGTGCTACTTTTAGGTTTCTGAGGTTGAAAGATGATGGAAATTTAGAGATTCATAGCGTTGTTAGAGGCAGTGGGTCTGAATCCGTGGGATGGAAAGCTGTTCCAGATAAGTGTCAAATATTTGGGTTCTGTGGGGAACTTAGTATTTGTAGCTATAATGATACAAGTCCGATCTGTAGTTGCCCATCTGCAAACTTTGAGCCAGTTGATCACCACGATTGGAAGAAAGGGTGCAAGGCGAAATTGGATATCAGAAACTGTTCCAGCGGCATCACGATGTTGGAAATGAAGAATACAAAGCTATTAACTTATCCAAAGAACTTAGAGGTCTACTCCATGCAGATATCAGGGTGTCAATCAAATTGTCGACAGAGTTCTGCTTGTGATGCTTCCACTGCGCCATCAGATGGGAATGGATTTTGTTATTACATACCGTCAGGCTTCATTAGGGGATATCAGAGTGCTGCGTTGCCAAGCAGTTCATTTCTCAAAGTCTGTGGAGAAGTGCTTGAAAACCAATTGGAATCTTCTGATGTTTCAAGGCCGGGTGGTACGAATTTGAAGGCTTGGGTCTTGGCGGTTGTGGTTTTGGTCACCCTTTTTGCCATGATTGTTTGTGAGGCTGGTTTATGGTGGTGGTGTTGCAGGAACAGCCCCAAGTTTGGAGGGATGTCCAGCCAATACACGCTTCTTGAGTATGCTTCTGGTGCTCCTGTTCAATTCTCATTTAAAGAACTCCACCGTGTGACCAATGGATTCAAGGAAAAGCTTGGAGCTGGTGGATTTGGAGCTGTTTATAAAGGTGTTCTTACTAATAAGACGGTCGTCGCAGTGAAGCAACTCGAGGGAATCGAGCAGGGAGAGAAGCAATTTAGGATGGAGGTAGCAACTATAAGTAGCACACACCATTTGAATCTCGTGAGATTGGTCGGTTTTTGCTCGGAAGGACGGCATAGGCTGTTAGTATATGAGCTTATGAAGAATGGCTCTCTTGATAGTTTGCTTTTCAAGGGAGAAGAAGGACAATCTGGGAAGTTCCTCAGCTGGGAAGATCGATTCAAAATTGCTGCTGGCACTGCCAAGGGGATCACATACCTTCACGAGGAGTGCCGTGATTGCATCATTCATTGTGATATAAAGCCAGAGAACATTCTCTTAGATGAGAATTTAAACGCTAAAGTCTCAGATTTTGGCCTGGCAAAGCTCATTAACATGAAAGATCACCGATATCGAACCTTGACTAGCATAAGAGGAACACGAGGCTATTTGGCGCCCGAATGGCTCGCAAATTTGCCACTGACTTCAAAATCTGATGTTTTCAGCTATGGTATGGTTCTCTTAGAGATCGTAAGCGGACGAAGGAACTTCGACGTTTCTGCTGAAACAAATCACAAGAGGTTCTCTTTGTGGGCTTATGAAGAGTTTGAAAAAGGAAATCTCATAGAAATTGTTGACAAAAGGCTGGTGGATCAAGATATTGATATGGAGCAAGTGAGCAGGGTGGTTCAGGTGGGCTTTTGGTGCATCCAGGAGCAACCATCTCAGAGGCCAACAATGGGAAAAGTGGTGCAGATGATGGAAGGCGTCATCGACATCGAGAGGCCTCCTGCACCAAAGGTAACATCCATGGTGTCTGCAACTGGAACAAGCACGTATATCAGCAGCAATTTAAGCAATTTCTCCGCCGTTGAAACACCCGCTACACCGGCCTCATTTTCGTTGTCGCTTGCTGCAGCAGACTTGACTCCTGGTGGCAGCATTTGTGAGAAAACAAGTTCATCTCTTCTGCACTCAAGGTACGACACTCCAACTAGCCTCTAGCTTTTCAGTTCTTACACTGATCTTTGTGCAAAAATTGCTCAAATCTTTGCTAGAAAGGTTTACAGTTCCAAGTCATGTTGTTGTAGTAACCTAATAACCAAGTGTTCCACATAAACTATGACAAAATCTTGTAAATCATTGTTCAGTTTTGTTTTGGTGCTGAGGGCGCAAGCCCACCAAAAGTTAATAGTAACCTCAAACTGTATAATTCTTCAATCTTTCTAGTTTCTTTATTGTTTTCTTTTAGAGAAGCTTCCTAGAAACCAGACCCATAAACCGCTTTCTCTCTAGTGGTTGGACGGCAGAAAGCTCGCTAAGTTTCGCTTCCCTCTCTTTTTTTTTCAATGAAGTGGAAAGTCTTAACTTAGTAGTGGACATTCTATAAGCGACTTGTTGAGTCTACGAAGTTTTGCTTCTTGTATTCAGCCTGGGATGCCTCAACATGAGTATAGTTTATCTTAACTTAGTAGTGATGCCGTTATGAGCATAGCTTTACTATAATTGACATATATTTATATCTTTCAGGTCGAGAGTACAAATTTTTGTACCTCACAACTGTACTAAAAAAAAAGTGTACGTAGCTACGTGAATAAATTACAAATTTAGTTTTTAAATTTTGAGATTTGTATCTATTCGAGTTTTAAACTTTAGAATTATAAATTTCATCATTAAATGATTATGGATTATTATGTTTGTACCAATTGATTAATGAATATTTTTTTTAGTAATTAAATTGAATAATTTAATTATCAACAATACATTTAAATAAACTTTACTGTAAAAATATTATTTATTTTTGTTTAATTAATAGATTAAATAATATTACGTCCATTTGTTTTCTTACATTTATTTATTTAAAATTTTCACCATGCACATATTAGATTAAAAATATAATTTAAAATTAATTGAAAGTGTGAATCAGACACATTTTACTTAGTCAACGTGAGGCTGACGGTGAGGGTAAAAGGGACAACATCAAGAACAAAGGAAAAATGGGGGAAGAAAATGAATCAAATTTGAACCCTCAAATTGGGGCAGAGAAATATCGTAGTCCTGTCCGGTTGAAATGGAGCAGGGGACTCGTTTTCTTCAATCTGGACAGGCTTGATTGACGGATTCATGAGCGGACGAAACAACAATCCAATGAATTCCATGGTAATTCATTTCTCATTTTCATCGTCGACTTTTCTGCTCTCAGTAGACTGTGATTTTTCTTCTGCAATTTATGTGAACTATCCTGTTTTTTCTGTGATGCGAAACCATCGCACTTTGATCGGAGAAGCAAAATCTTCTGAGAGTTTTCCGATCTTCTCGGATTCCGCTTCTCAGAAACTTCTCCGAAATGAACCTCCGTAGCCGTTTATTTTGTTGCATTTCTAGCTTCTATGTTGGTAGCCGCCATATCTCTAGGTTCATCTTTGAAAGCTTCCGATCCCGACCAGGCGTGGAACTCGCCTGGCGCCATTTTCTCTCTTCGTTTCCTTCCATCGGATTTATCCCCTTCTTCTTCTTCTTATATCGCCGGCATTTTCTCTCGAGAAAAGTTTTTGTCATCTGGTCCGCTGGCGGCGGTGCTCCGGTGGATGCTTCAGGTGCTCTTCACTTTCAATCCGACGGCAACCTTCGCCTCGTCAATGGCTCCGGTGCCGTCGTTTGGGAATCTAACACCGCTGGCCATGGCGTCTCCTCCGCTGTACTCCAGGACTCTGGCAATCTTGTACTTCTAAATAGTAGATTCATCCCCGTTTGGCCTTCCTTCGACAATCCCACTGACACGGTTGCTCCATCGCAGAATTTCACAGTGAATATAGTCTTGCAATCTGGCTAGTATTCTTTTAAACTACTTGATACTGGAAATCTAACTCTTATTTGGAATGGTGATGTAATTTATTGGAATCAAGGCTTGAGTACGCCAATCAGTGGCACTCTGGATTCGCCTATTTTACAATTAAGTCATACCGGGAAGTTGGCTATTTTTGATACCAGCATTCCACTGCGAGCAAGATCGCTGGTTGCTTATAGCAACGATTATGCAGATAAGCCTTTCCCAGTCGATAATTTTTGGTTTCTGAGGTTGAAATATGATGGAAGTTTAGGAACTTATAGCGTCCCTAGAGGCAGTGAGACTGAAACAGTGGGATGGGACGCTGTTCCAGATAAGTGTCAGATATTTGGGTTCTGTGGAGAACTCAGTATTTGTAGTTATAATGATACCCGTCCACACTGGCTGCCCTTCTGCTAATTTTGAGGCAATTGATCCAAATAATTTGAAGAAAGGGTGTAAGAGGAATACAATGGTCAAATACAAGCTCATGAGAGAGCTTATGCTAACATATTCAAGGAATACAATTAATTACACCATGAAGATAGCAGGGTGTCGATCAAATTGTCGACAAAGTTCTCCCTATGTTGCCTCCTCTGCACCATCAGATGGAAGTGGGTTTTGTTATCACGTACCATCCGGTTTCATTAGGGGATATCATAGTGTGTTGAGGATTGTTGAAAGGGAGTCCCGCGTTGACTAATTAAGGGATGATCATTGGTTTATAAGTAAGGAATACTTCGTCATTGGAATAAGCCCTTTTTGGAGAAACAAAAAACAAAGTCATAACAACTTATGTTCAAAGTGGACTATATCATATCAATGTGGGGGGTCGTGGTTGTTGAGAATTGTTGGGAGAGGAGTCTCACATCGGCTTATTAAGGGGTTGATCATCGATTTATAAGGAATAAATCTCCATTGGTATGAGGCATTTTGGGGAAACCAAAAGCAAATCCATGAAAGCTTATTCTTACAGTTGATTATACCATACCATTGTGGAGGGTCATGGTTGTTGAGGATTGTTGGGAGAGGAGTCCCACATCTGCTAATTAAGAGGTTGATCATGAGTTTATAAGGAATACATCTAATTGGTATGATATCTTTCGAAGAAACAAAAGCAAGTTTTTGGTGCTCTAAAGAACTCCATCGCGTGACTGATCATAGGGAGGGGAGAAACATTTTTTTTATAAATGTGTGGAAATCTCTCCCTGAAAAGACGTATTTTAGAAACTTTGAAGGAAAGTTTAAAAAGAACAACGTCATCCGCTAGCAGTGGACTTGGAACAGTTTGTTTTCAAGTCCGAACAATATCACTCTGGAAAGATGATTCAAATTAAAACATGACTCTACATTCATACAACAGTTCAAACAATACAAACACAATTGACAATTGACAGAAAGTAACAACACAATTATTTTTGAGGAATGGCTTCTCCCACTAAATCTTGATCATGCAGAGCTTTCCAACCTTGATGCAAGCTTAAGACCAATGGAATCAGCGTCCTACTTCAACCAGCTTGGATCCTCGATCGAGCGACGCCTTCACCGCATCGATCACCAGCTGAGTCTTACGACTAATGGATGGCCATTTCTTCTCAGGTTTGGAGCCCTTCTCTTTAATTTCTTTAACCAAACGAGAGAATTCCCCCACCATGCAAGCCTCTTGAGAAAGCTCAGTCGGGACGACATGTTTGCTCGGTACCGGTTTCCATCCGGTCGCAAGCTCATTGAACCGAGAGTTGGAACTGGTGAAGAAATAGGTCTCCTTCTCTTCATAAGGTATAACGAGATCATTAAGATTTAAAGTCCCATTGGTTCCTATGACAGTGGTATCCATGGTCAAGTTTGACAAGAAAGAGCAATGGAAGGTCGCTACTTTGCCATCGTCCCAAAACAGTGAACTTCCACAGGATAAAATGACGCCCGATTCATTCAAAACAGGATTAGGCAACGCAACCACTGTTGTAGGCAGTTGGAAGTCGGCAGCAAAGAGAATCGAACGAATACAATACCACCCGACATCGCCCAAAGCACCAAGGCCATCGAGATCCGGTTTTATGCGAATATCATTGGCTATGAACTCAGAATCAGCAGCGTAAGTGTAGATACTGTTTACCTGCAATGTTCGTAACAGGAAAAAAAAAAAATTCAATTTATTATTGGAGTCAGGAATTTGCTCTAATCCAAACATGTCGTGTCGTGATCTTGACACGTTCATGACATGCCTTGAGGAGAACTCACGTCCCGTATTTCCTTTTCGCCCAACTTTGGGCCTTCGTCGGACTATCGGTAAGGTAACGAACATTGCTTGTGCAGAATCTAATCTTATTCGCTCTCACACGTTGTTTGTGCGTGCATGTTCAATTGTTGCAACACAACAACGTCGCATCTCATTGTCATCTCGGTTTCCAACAACACAACCCATGCATCATGATGTCATCTCATGTCTCGAGACACATCGGCCATCTTGGCTTGTTCGTACACATCCGTTGGGAACAAACCCATGTGTCGATCATCTTAACGGGACATTCGAACATTCATTCATCCGAATTCACTTGAGCATTGGGCTCGCCCGTGTCCATGCTACCGCATAAGTTTCAGATAGGGGCATACTTTTAAAAAATTTCTCCTTATTTTATTATTTTTATTTTGACAGAGAGAAAATTACGAATTATCCACCAAGTATTAGTTGTTCAATCTTCATAATTTGAATTTGAAATAAATATTTTTATAGGTTTCCATGAATTTCATTTTAATCAAAATTGTGGAAAAAACATAAAAGATTTAGATTTAAACATAAATAAAGGTTTGAAGAAAGAAATTATAAAGATAAAATATGTTTTAATTAAAGAGAATTATATATATATATGTATGTATGTATGTATATCCGTACCATCTTGAGCTGCCCAAACTGGTCGGCATCTGAAAGAAATTCGGTGATCTTGGGCGTGCGAGGATGGTGCATCCACATGGTACCGTCCATGAACTGCACTCCATTCCCCTCGCACGCCGCCGCAATCTCATCGAACTCCGCCACATTCAGAGCCACCGGCTTCTCCAGGAGCAAGTGCTTCTTCTTCTTCGCCGCCACCACCGCCCACCGCAGGTGGAGACTCGTCGGAAGCGGCACATACACGGCGTCGATTTCCGGATCATCCACTACAGCTTCGTAAGAACCGTAGATTTTGACCTCTGCACTTAATCCATTATCCGACGCAAATTTCGAGGCCTTTTCGACTGAACGACTGCCGATCGCCGAGAGAGTGGCATTCGGAGCATCGGCAATGGCTCGACAAACCTTCCGAGCTATCTTGGCGGCGCCGAGGATTCCGAAACGGACGGGTTTGTTGGTCATGTCTGCCGCCCGGAGCTTTAGACGATGATATTCCGGTTGTGTTCGGAATTATACTTATATAGGCTCCAGAGAGAATTTAAATTACGTAAATATTGATATAGTAAATTACTTTCTTCGATTTTACATTAATATCCTTCTTCAACTTTTATTATTATTATTTTTTTTTTTAAAAAAACATTAATATTAGTATACTAAAAAATGTTTAAAAAATATTTGCCTCATCTTTTTTTCACTTGCTTATTCAATCTCATTTTATTTTTCTCTCAACTCTCAACTCTCTAGGAGAATCTTAATTCGAATAATCTTTTGAATTTTCTTTTACCGATCAAATCATTCTTCTACTGTAATAAAATAAAAATGGAATCTTAATTTTATGCCTTTAGAAACTTAATTTTAGGTCTTATCACACTCTATGTCAAAATATAAACCCACAAAATTGACTAACAACTTCAAATTTAAAGATAAATACATATTGTCACTCCAACAACATTCGCTACAGATAAGCCTCATACTATTGTGGACGATAGTGTTCGAGCAAAACCTAATAGGTTTCGAATCAGTCTCCTCTATGCTAACGACAACCTAGGGACAATACTGTTTGTGGTATTCTTTAGAGATGACCCATAAAATTTTTACTATGTTCTTGAATGCTCACTCCTTTTCGAGAGTTAAATTTATTGGATCTTAATCTATGTCAGCGAATTATGATGATGATTACATAATTTGTTCCTCAAGTATATTATTTTAGGCATATTTTTTTAGTAGTAAGTATTGTCAAAAACGAATAAGATACCTACCTTTAGATAAATTTAGAATTAGAATAAGTTTGGGTAAATAAAGGGAGAAAAGAAAAGAATAAGTTTGGGTAAATAAAAGGAGAAACATTAAACTTTGTTGTTCCTAGGATTGTTCGAGATAAGGAACTTGAGAAAGCTTTTGTTTTTAAAGCTAATGAAACAAAATCGGAATTTTTTTTTTTTTAATGCAAATTTCATGAAGGTGTGTTTAAGTAGTTAGCCACCAAGGGCACCGGAGGTGACATAGATCAACCTATGAGATGGACTTATAATTATAAGTACATATTTCTATATGGAGGATGAAGTGTTTTTGGCCATTATAGGTTGTCCATGATTTTCTTTAGGACTCATCACCGGTATACGAACTAGGCAGTTAGTACCTCCATGTGTCTATTAAGATCAAACTAGACACTGATCAAGAGCATGTCATGAGCAAATGACCCTATTTTAAAATGAAAATTGGTCAATTTATTTGACTTGTTAATGTTGTGCGTGTATGTATGTTAAATCTCGATACAAAAATTTATTTGTCTGAATATTTTGAATTTTCACAATTTTTCAAAATGATTTTTCAGATAAAGGAAAGATCGTGAAAAGTAGGGTTGAGAGAACCATCCATGGGATGACTACTCCCAAATGACCCATAAGACAACAGCTCGAGAATCTGAAAACGACTATATGACTATGCAAAGGAATGAGGAGCAAAAGTGGCAAAAATATTAATCGCCAATCTAACGGCAAAAAAGAGACCCAGCAAAAATCAAAATTCTTCAACCGTTGGATCTTTCTCTCCTATCTAAATTTGTTATTATTCAGGAATCACTATAATCAGAAACTTGTAAGCGTTACATGAATGTTGTTTATGGAAAACTCATACCTTGTGGCAGGACCCGTCGTTTTCAGCCCATTTGACAAGCAATAATTTTACAGGCGTTTAGACTGAATCTTTGTGGAGCCAAATATTTTACAATCTACTTAGCTGAATTTGTTACCTGC